GTTGAAGTCCACGAGTCATAAAAGAGCCAAGGTTGACTACCCCTGTGAATCTAAACAAATGCTATAATAGTTCTTTCTACCATGCCAGAACGTATTGGGCCTAAGCACATCTCTTTTTTGTCCTAGTTCTTTCCAGTGTTGGGGGCCTCTATACTTCGGTTGTTGTTAAATATACAGACAACATTTTGAAAGGTTTTTCTGCAGCCGCCGCCATTGTACTCTCTACAGTTGCATCCGTCCTTCTCTTCGGTTTACAAATCAGTAAGTTGCTTTGGACTATTTTGTGTTTTCGTTAAATCATTTATGATCCACAATGTCATGGAATAGGTATTCATGGAATCAGTGATACTTTACTGTGGTTACATGGTTTAAATTGCTCATAATTTTCGGCTTTATTCTTCTCCTAATACTATTTATGCAGCTTCACAAAGAAAATGGCCAGATTATTGAATTATTTTTCCAGAGTGATCATATTCTTACCACAATCAAACATTATGTGTTTATAGTGTTTTTTTATCGTATTTCATTGATTCCACTGAAATGTATTTTTCTGTAAGATTGTTATGAAATAATGAGTCATTTCTCATATAGTTTAAACAACCACAACTGGGACCAACAAATCTGTTGCTAAGTGAAGCAGACTCTTAAGTGGGAAATTAGATGACCATGACTGTGCATTTCTTTTCTCCACCTTTTGGAATCCTTACCCCGGCATTGGGATTAAACAGAAGAGAATTGATGTTTGGATATACATTCATTGGAGAGCAAGAGATTACAAGAGAGTTAGCAGGCACACAATGGGGAACACACATTGAAAACAATGCACTGGTGCCAGCAAAACGTGAGCATATTGTGCAAACAGCTTACTGCAGTCCCTATTGTATGCTTGCTTACTTTGTTGTAACCCTTCCTCTCCAATCTCTATTCTGCAAGGGAGGAGAAAAAAGAATAACAGACTAGGTACATGACAACATGCACTGTACTGACTGCAGTGGTGATCACATAACTAAAGGAGCTGCAAAAGTCATAAATGTAGGCATTGGCCGTGAAGTTATTTTTTCAGCAGTCATAAATTTGAATGGTCACTGAATGAGGCAGTCGTTAAGCAAGGACTATCTGTATAAGCAAGCTGATACTTAGCCTTTCAGTCATGAAGTGAAGGTAAATAAGAACTTTTCAATCTTCCTAAGGTCTCTGTCACATTTAAATTTAAAATGAAGTTTCCAGTTACAGTGGTACCTTGGTACTCGTCCTTAATTGGTTCTGGGAGGTGCAACGAGTACTAAAAACAAACGTGATTTATGAGCTAACTTTTTGTTTCAACTGGGAAGAACTTCCTATCTGTCCCTTTTCCTGTCAGCGACCTTCCCAGCATGGTTGACTTCCTGTCTGACCTCTGCGGCTGTCCCTTCCTTTTTCAGGCATCTTCCCAGCCTGGTTTACTTCCTGTGCTGTCTCCTGCTTCCTTTTTCAGTGCATCAAGTACTATGATGAGTATCAGACAATATTTTTACATCAAAATGCATTGAGTACCAAATTTGATGAGATTTGAAGCAGTCGAGTACTGAGGTACCCCTGTATGCACTAATAGAATGCCTCTCCCAAAGAAGCTGTAAAATGGAAGTAGATTGTAGCAAGATATTAAAATTCCAGCAGTGAAACACAACCGATTAAACATTTGTAGAATTCATAATCTAAAGCTGCAAACCAGACTTCTTGTTTTCAGTGATGAGGCTGTGAGCGGGATACTTTAAACTGAGTGCTTTCTTTTTCCCTTCCAGCTATAACTTTCTCTCTGGGGACACTGCTTGTCTGTGTTTCAATATATCTATATGGATTGCCTCGACAAGACACAACAAAAATCCAGCCAGTAGAAACAAAAACGTCAAAAGGGAATCTTACTACCGTGTGACGTCTTGTCTTCATGAAGAATTTGTAAAGGAGACAATGTGTATGCCTGTCCCCACCCCCAATTTTCTTTTTGAAAGAAAAGACTTTAATTCTTCATGAGAAACTTCTGAAAATGAAATCAGTTATTCATTGGATGAAAATCTACACTGGAGGAAGATTCTTTGCTAATCTGTAGAATCTCCTTATAAACGTTGGCTTTTCACAATTGAAGATGCTGTGTTGAAAAGAAGGAATGGGAGGCACTGTTATACATAAATAGGGAGATGGCTGTGGAATTTACTCCTATGTTATTATGTTGCCAGAAATGCTTGTGGTTGCAAGGAAAGGGTAATTCAAATTTAAATGTGACCAAAACAACATAAAATGATATTGGAATAATAGTATCTTTTTCTCCATGGATACCTGGCATGAAGATCCAGCCAAGTGCTGTACTGCTTTAATGATAAAAACCATTGTTGCAATAGGAAAAACACAGAAGCAATTGTGAGATGGAAGAATGCTATTACTGGAGCTTTAAAACTGAAAATGGTAACTTATCCTGAAGCCAGGGTCACTACTTTTTTGGAACACCACAGGAAGAAAAAAAAAATACTGTGATTTCTTTTAAGAATTTTCTTTTGCAAAAAGGAAAGTGATAGATGACTGTACATACATTTACTCTTGCATTGAATTAACTGGTAAATACATACATTCTTGTACAGTGTTACAATTTTTTAAAATATTTGATTAAATATGTTTTAGAGAAAGGGAACAAACGCTATGGATTAAATATCATCTAGGTTTATATCTACTGATTTTTGTCAACTTACTTTTATACTGAAATTGTTGAGAGGTAAATATTTTTAAAGCCTTTAGCGGGTTTTCTAAAACGAGGTTTTAAGAAATGAAAATGCATAATTTCTATAAATCAGTCAAACTAAGACTTGAATGAGAACCTGATAAATCAGATGTGAAGAAGTGTGACCAAGTATAATTTGGTTATGAACAGAGCAAAATTCTTTCTGTTTCAGACTGTCTGACTCTAAATGAAATGATTGATCCTACTTTGTCCAGAATTTGGAGGATGTCATTGTGATGTTGTAAAAGTGCCTCACCCAACTTTTGGAGAGGGAAGGGGGAAAAAAATCTAAGACAAAAACTTCTGACAACAAGACTATGAAAGGGGGAGGGAAGCAAAATGGAAGATAGACTCTGAATACCACCTGCCCATGCTGTATATAGGTAGTCCTCAATTTATAACCGTTTGTTTAATGACCGTCCAAAGTCACAATGGCCCTGAGAAAAGTGACTTATGACTTCTTCGTACTACAATTGAAGCATCCACGTGATCAAAATTTGGAATGCTTGGCAACTGGCCAGTATTTATGAAGGTTGCAGCATCCCGGGGGGGGGGTCATGTGATCGCCTTTTGCAACCTTCAGGCAAGCAAAGTCAATGGGGAAGCCAGATTCACTTAACAACTGTGTTACTAGCTTAGCAACTGCAGTGATTCACTTAACTGTGGCAAAGGTCAAAAAATGGCGCAAAACTCACTTAACAACTGTCTTGTTTAGCAATGGGAATTTTAGACTCAATTGTGGTCTTAAGTCGAGGACTACCTGCAGTTATTTATCAGCCATTTGGAGAAAAAAAGGGACAACAGACCCAAGGAATAAGTTCAGAGAAACCAAATGTGGAAGCCAGCAGAGATCACTAGGGAAAAATAAGTAGAAGTTACTATCTTTTTTTTTAGCAATTATTCTCCAGAGAGAAGAAACCTCATAGTAAGCCTTCTATTTGTTGTGCACCTCTATACTTTTTTCTGTATCATAGTAAGAAAAAGTAAAATTGTAAACGTGATAGTGGATGCTTTATTCCCACAGTGGAAATAGCATGGAGACATTTTTTTCCTGGAATAGAGGTAGCCTAAGCTTTCTAGCACATATTTCAAAATCGGATCCTCTTTGAGAGATTGGTATCAGAGTTTCTGTACACATTTTGTCCTGCATCTTCATGGAGGCCTCCTTTGCACACCGGCGGGGTGGGGGGTAGGGATGGTTCTGTGCCAACTCCATTTGTGCAAGTGCCTCGCATGTGTGCCTGCCACTCAGGCAAATGGAGTGTGCATGCACACGTTCGCTCACTGCTTGCGCAGGTGGGGATGCATGTGTGCACGCCCACAGCCTGGGTGCAAACAGCTCATGGCCTACTAGTGGGCCAGAGCCCAGAGGATGGGAATCCCGACCCTGTACCATTTCAGATAAGTGGCTGTCCAGTCTTTTCTTAAAAACTCCAGTGATGAAGCGCCCACAACTTCTGGAGACAAGCTGTTCCACTGATTAATTGTTCTCATCCGACTGCAGTGGCCTACTGTGAAAATATACAGGGTACTTTTAAAAATAATTTTTCCAGTAGAGGCGGATGATTTTCCTTGGAACCTAGCAGCTTCATCTTATTTCTTAAAAACTGAAAAGCGTTAAAGTCAGATGAAGCAGTCAGGCAAAGACTGCATCCACAGGACTTCCATAACTCATAGGATAGCTTTTATAAATAAATGTACCACATATATTAAAAAAAATGCCCACCTTCCAAGCCAAGTGCTTATGAGGAACAAAAAGGAAAGAGAACAGGCTCCACAGTTTTAATATTCTCATAATGACAAAGCTTTGCATTGCAAAAATACAAAATGGGACTTAATTTTTAAGCATTATGATCTGGGGCCAATTGCGCAGCTGCTGACATTTCCAAGCGGCCGAAAGGTTTTGATTTCAGAGCAGGTCAGCAGAGCGGCAAAGCCATCGTCATACAGCCTGGCCCACGCGTGGGTGCATCACAACCATTTAATTCAAATACCAATAAAAGCTGGAATTGGCTTTGTAATAGAGAAGAAAAATTCATATCAAAAGGACTTCCGAACATTCCCACAACTCTGGAATGGCCACAAAATCCAAAACGGAGATCAGATAATCTTCATAAGGGATACATAGGAAAAGCATCAAGGAAGTTCCCCCATTACATTTTATCTACAGGTGTGATTCCTAGGAGCTTCATTCCGTTGGCTAGAACAGAGCGGGCAGCGTGAAAAAGGCAGAGCCTTGCCTTGGAAAAAAAAAAAGGTGGGGGGGGAGGGATAAAGAAGAGGAATTGGTAATTTTTGTCATCTTATGAAAGCAGCATCTTATTCATGCCCCCTCCCCCTGCTCCATGCTATGGTAGTATAAAATATTTTTTATATGTTTTATGTTCACTGAGAAATTCAGATGACTACTAAATTAAGATAAAATTAGAGTTTTCTGACTATCTGCGGAGCTAATTTTTCTGCTGCTAACGGGCTACGAGACTAAGTGAAAACTGGAGTCACGCCCAAAGGAAGGGTGTGGCCAAAGTTTTGACCTAGTCTGTCGGGAAGGCTGTCATGGAACCCATCCAGTGGACTCTACAGCCATCCTGCTGGAGAATAAGAGCTATTAAAATGCCCATTTGTACCAATAATTCTGCAGCTTGATCGTTGTGAAGAATCTACTTCTTTTATTTCCTCCCGTGTCTTCTCCCACTTCCCCAAATCTGCGGTTGAGAGACCCTGCCCCCCCCCATCAGCATAAAAGCCGATTTTGTACACATTATTTGGTCAAGGAAACTTTCCCCCTTTAGTTTTTTCTTTGGGGAGACTTAGACTCCACCTTCAGAAATCGCCTATTCATGTTGCGTCAATGTACCTCTATTTCCCTGATGCTCACTAACCTTATTCCTGCATATCCTTGGATGTTTGTGTGCTTAGTGACTTCTCATGCACATCAAGTTCATCTCGGTGGGAAAAAAACCCCAACACTGCATCTAATACTTTTATTTGTTTTCTCTCTCTGCTTCTGAGATGTCAAAGTCCTGCTCCAGGTAAAACCTTTCACTGATGCACATCATCTATGTGTTACTTCTGCTCATGTAGCACAAAGCAGCTGCATTGAAGGCTTCCTTCTGTCTTTCTTAGGAAGTTACAAGGGTATGAAATAGTTTTTACCCTGTATCTAGCTGATGATGCACAACCTAAAATATTCAACCTGGAGTATTACAAGTATTTCAGGCTGACTATTCCTAGAGCTCCCAGTCAGTTGTTAACTCTGAATTATACTTTGCATGTATTGTCTATTGATGGCTATAAGACCAGTCTGAGTTTTGATTTGTGGCCACTTAATGTTAAGCAATATTTACAGCTCCCGGGGACAATCTTCAAAAGAACAGCATCCTAGTCCACCTGCTAAGCTACTGCAGTAGACTTATTTCATCTTCCAGTTCCCTTGCTTCCAGATACAAAACCCTGCCATTCATCTATTCCTTTAACTCATATTCCACCTTTCAACAGCAACCTTTCTACAAGAGGTTTTTCTCCGGGTTTACTGCTTAGGGATAACAAATTACATTCGAACACTGAGAAGAATGATTGTATTGTAAGCTGGATCATGAGGTGGGTGGCATATACACTCAATACATTCAATAAATAAATAAAATAAAATAAATGTTACCTGAGCGAGTTCCAGAGGGCTGCCCTTTACAGGAAGATTTCTGTGAGCTGCCGATACTAAATGACTGAAACAGAAATACCAAGCCTGAAAACACACTTTCCAAAAGAGAGCAATCCTAAACCAAGCAGCCACAAACAGAGTAGTGCTGATTTTTAAGTGAGCTACACATGCTTTAAGTTCCAGGTGGAATAAGAACACCTTGCTTGGCCAAACACTGCAAGGGCTATGGAGCATATAGAACAGTGATGGCGAACCTTTTAGAGACCGAGTGCCCAAACTGCAACCCAAAACCCACTTATGCATCGTCAGGTGCCAGGTGGGTGTGGCCATTGGCTGGGTGTGGCCAATTGGGAGGGTGTGGCTAATAGAGTGGGCATGGCTGTGGTGGTAACAGCGGACTGGGTGGGACTAAAAAGTTCAATCAATGCCAACTTTGCAAGTTCTTCCCCCCCCCCGCAAGAAGTTGAAATTGATTGATTGAACCTTTTTTTTTTTGCACATGGCGGTGGAGGCCTAAAGCAAAAAGGTTTTATAAAACCCAGCTGAAGGCCTAGGACTGGGGCAACGGTGCGCATGCCCACAGAGAGAGCTCTGAGTGCCGCCTCTGGCACCCATGCCATTGGTTCGCCACCACTGATATAGAACTTCCACTGTGGTTTGGATCAAAAGCTAGAGGGTGCTAATTCTTGTTTCTGGCCAAGGAGAACAGTGTTGTTTGAAGAAAAAAAAATTTTACATTCATAACCTTGGTTCAAGCTCTACAATAGTTACTGACCATAAGCAAGCTTGTTCTGTGTTGAACATAAGGCTTCATTCAGCCTTTGTAAACTCTGCTGCAAGAGCATTTCCCAACCTTGTAAATTCTAGCTCTATTGGGACAACTCCAAGAACTCCCAGTGGGCAGAAGCAGTAAGATTTCTGGACATTATTGTCTTAACATTCTGGAGGACGAAAGGCTGTGCTGACACACTTTAAGTTGAATTTACCTTATATATATTGGCTGCTTTCATGTAAGTTATATAGCCAGCCCAGTTAAACATCTAGTGGTTGCATATGCACAACCAATTGAACATGATTAATTTAAACCCTATTCGTGACTTGTGTGGCCTGGTTGGATAGATTATGAGTCAATGTATTATGCAAAGCTATAACATGGCTTAATTCAGTAATGAGGTAAATGCGCTGCATATTTCTCTAATGGGAATGGCGTCTTAATTTAGTCTTGACCTACCATGTGCACAGTAATTAATGGAGCTCTGTATTTTTTTCCCACTAATGTCAACTTTTTATTCGAGCCCATCTGCTGCACAGTATAATATATATCAGTGATGGCGAACCTTTTAGAGAACGAGTGCCCAAATTGCAACCCCAAACCCACTTATGCATCGTCGGGTGCCGGGTGGGTGTGGCCCATGGGGTGGGTGTGGCCCATTGGGTGGGCGCGGCTGCAGTGGTAACAGCAGACTGGGTGGTATTAAAAATTCAATCAATCAATTCCAACTTTGCAAGATCATTTTTTTTCCCGCGAGAAGTTGAAATTGACTGATTGACTGAACCTTTTTTTTTTTTGTACACAGCGGCGGAAGCCTAAAGCGAAAAGGTTTTATAAAACCCAGCTGAAGGCCTAGGACTAGGGCGACGGCACGCGTGCCCACAGAGAGGGCTCTGAGTGCCGCCTCTGGTACCCGTGCCATAGGTTCGCTACCACTGATATATATGAATCTTAATTTCATCTTTGAAATTGAAAGCAAAATTATGCCACATATGTACATGAGAGATAAAAGCAACATTTAAAATACTGGATAGTAAGACTCTAGGCATAAAATAGCCCTTACCCTTGAGATGCTGAATGACTACTGCAAGGGATGAAAAAATTCAGGTGTGGGGTAATAAAATACCCCTGAAAGGGCACAGTCTGGCTAGCTAGGATTTTGCTGCAGTGACTATTTCTTTAAATGTCATTAAAATCACGAAAAGTATAAATTTGCTCCCAGACTTAATAGGTTCTCCCCTTTCTGGGAGGTTGTTTCAGGAAATGTCATGTTTTGAAATGGAATGCATCTCAACAAGAAAAACTAGTTTCTATTATGATCTCTTAAAAGTTCGTCATCAGATTTTGACAAAGACATTTTTTGTCTAAAGGCATGAACTGATTTTCCACCAGCGACTCAGGCCAAATAATATACAGCATTCAGCAAAATGCTTAAGGCATTTGGAATAGGAAATAGGAAAATGAAGTTTGCAGAAACCACATCCCCTTTGGTATTATGTAAATCACTGGTCAATTGTTAACCTACAGCTTGAAAAGTATTATATAATAATAATAATAATAATAATAATAATGATGATAGAAGGGATCTTGGAGGTCATCTAGTCCAACCCCCTGCTCAGGGCAGGAAACCCTATACCATTTCGGACAAATGGCTGTCCAGTCTCTTCTTAAAAACTTCCAGTGTTGGAGCATTCACTGCTTCTGGAGGCAGATTGTTCCATTGGTTAATTGTTCTCACTGTCAGGAGGTTTCTCCTTAGTTCTAGGTTGCTTCTCTCCTTGATTAGTTTCCCTCCCTCTTGTCCTTCCTTCAGGTGCTTTGGAGAATAGCTTGACTCCCTCTTCTTTGTGGCAACCTCTGAGATATTGAAACACTGCTGTCATGTCACCCCTAGTCCTTCTTTTCATTAAACTAGACAGTACACCAGGAGAAGCAAAATTATTTTTAAAAAGTTGCACTTGAAGGTTTCCAAGATCATATAATATTTTTTGATCTAATGAAGTACTGATTTTGAAATTGATGGGTATTATTCAAATGTAAAATAAGTTTTTTTTGAGTAAGTGACAGATTCCATAGAAAGAGGCAAAGGCTGCTGTGATAGAGCCAGCCTTTTTTCATGTGTTTGTTAGATTTATATTCCTCCTTTGCTCCAAGAGCTCAGTGGCTTCGTTTCATGCCAATATAAAGACTTTGAGTAGGTTGATCTGAAAGACTGATTGGCTCAGAATCACTTATGAATTGCCATAGTTGAAGATGGACTTCGATTTTAATCTCTTCATGCCTAGTCCACTCATCACCACTGAAGCCGTTAGTCTGAAAAAACTGCATTTGATTATGTCAAACTATCAATTTTGAGGCTACATATTTTAAAAGCAATGTATCTGTTCTGTTCAAGGCTCTAAAGTTTGTTTCTTTTACCTGAGTTTAAACAGGTATTTAACAATATGCTTCGGCTGATGATCTTGTGAAGATTGATAAATAATTTCATCATATCTGAAGGGAGAAAGGAACACATTTAGGAGCATCTGATTAAAGAAAAAACATAAGCCACCTAGAGAACATTCACATCTCAGTTCTATTCCAGCTTTACTGTCATATGAGGTCAGATTCTTGAACACACCTGCCTCTTTGAGTGAAGAGCTGCACATGAAAACTTCCACAGTTGGAGTAATTATTCTAGGAAAAAAATATTGTCAAATAGCTTTTGTTTAGCACCAGCCATACAATTAACCACCGCTTTGCTTATATGAAAAGGTGGCTAGCTCATTTTTTTCCAATGGCCCTGTATTTGCTGAGAATAGAGTAATGGAGTAATAGAGTCATTTTTTTTTCTCTTTTAGCATGGGGGATGGTGGGAGATGAGAGAAAAAATGTAGTTTGAAATACTTTTTGGCCTTAAATACTGTATTGCAGTAGCAGAATTCCATACTTGTTACTGGCTAATTAATAGCCTAGGGAGTGCCTGCTTTGTCCTTATTTCCTTTTCAGTGAGGAAATCTGACAAGCTATTCTGTTTTCCCTCCATTTCTCCTCAAGGCGTGAAAGGTCTTAACCAGCCTTGCTTTTGTCACTGTCAAGGTCTTTTGCTATTCCTAACATTGCGTTCCTTCTGCAGATTCAGTTCATTAGACTGTGCATTGTTCACAGGCCCAAATCCAAATGTAATATATTTTGTTTATTGCCTTCTTTGTTTTATACATTTACACATCTTTAAAATATGTTTTTGGTAAATATCACCTCCAAATGTGTCTTATAACTCAGTAAGCACAGCTGGGCACACTTTCAGTTTAATGTACATGGCACTATGCTGCACAACGTGAATAGCTTGAGGCACCTTTAAAAAGCCTGCTGTTCCAAACAATAATAGCTAATATATACCATTTCTGCAGGCATCACAGATGAACAAGATGCCAATGGAATATATAAAGCATACTTAATGCTTTCTGGCTGTTTCCTAAGACTCATTCTAAGGAGATTTTTAGCAAGAAAATGCAGTAAAAATACTTCAAAAGTGATATTCTATTTCCAAATTTTCTAGGCTACGGCTAGCATTCTGTTGATTCTAAATCAGTTATGCACATGGATAGGCAGCTAACTGTCTTCAAGAACTGTTGCATAGTAAGACCAAACATAATTAATAAAAAAGTATATAAACTGTGTTCAGTGCTGTTATGTATGCAAAGACTGCAGTAGAAACTTGAGAAAATGCCGAAGTACCTGAGAAGATGTTGAAGTAAGGATATTGCTAGTGGATCTTGTAAACAAGCAGGGTTGACAGGAGTGCCTTGATTGACAGTACCACACATTTCTTCTAAACTAGGCAGGGGAAGAGAAAACTGTCAGTAACACTGATGATCAAAAATACCTTTGAAACTTCCTTATTTATTTCATTGATAAGCTGCCTTTCCTGTAGGACAGGTGTCAAACTGCCGGCCTCCAGGCCAGATGCATCATAGCGAAACCACGCCCATCCCATTGCTGGCAATGGCAAAAAAGTCACGATACGTCGCAACACGTCACGTGACGTCACGAGTTTGACACCCCTGCTGTAGGAGCTCAAGTCAGTAAGCACAGAATCTCCATGCAGGTTGTGACTACTCATTTCAACATCCCTATGACTTAGGATGGGTTGAGGGGGAAGGTCTCAAATCCATTAATGGTCCAGCAGCAAATATCTGGGAGTAAACTGCCCTTACGAAATTATGAAAAGCCTTTCTAGGCATCAGTCTAAAATCCGAAAACCATTACTGTAATAAAATAACGCCTCCTCGGTACTCATCAGCAATCAAACAAGCAATGCCTTATTTAATATAACATAAAGGAAAGTAATAACTGAAGCAAAACACTTGGACTTCAAACTCGTTCCACTTCAACTGAGCCAAATCACTCAAGAGTGAAATAAAAAAGCACAGCAAAACCTAAAAAGACCTTATTTTGTTGAAATGGTACAAGTATTTGACTGATCACCACAAAAGAGTTACAGAGCAAAATTGCAATTTTATAAAGGGAAACTACTAAATCTTCAAAATCGTTCTTTGCTTCTTGGTGGACTTTATATAAAACAACACAGCAACTACCGCAGGATTATATATTATATTCTATACATTAAAAAAACCTAAAGTGGTTCTTAATTCTTTTTACACTGTTAAGTTCTGCTGCCTGTTTAAAGTTAGGATTCTTTCCATTGCTCTACTTCAGAACTACACTCTTATTACTGAAAATTCTTCTGCAGCTTCTCTGGGAAAACAGCACTCAATGATTGTATTCAAAGGAATTCTGGGAACTCCAGGGAATTATGGCAACTCTTCAAAGCAGGTATGTGCTTTGGGAGAAGGAAAAGTTCCATTATATGAAATGGATGGAACTCTTTAGTAAAACTTGCCCATTTGTCTGTTCTGTGTATTTCATGTTATTTAAGCACACTGAAGTCACAGCAGAAAAGTTCCCAATCCCTTTTACTTGCAGACAACTTTCATTCTGACCCAGATGAAGGCCAGCTCAGGAAAATAAAATGGGGCACAAATCATCCCTCAATACCTTTGCAGCCTGGCATGTGTATATTGCAAGAAGACCCCCGTATCGCCTTTGCTTTGAAGAACCTGATCCCAGTTAAACCGATAATCAGATGATAAGAGGCCTTTGAAGTCCTGAAATGACAAAAATTATTCAAGAACTGAGTAGATAACTTTCAGCACTCCTGAAACTGATCTTGCCATTAACTGGGTGACAGACCTGAATGATAAGTGCTGCGAGCCCAATCCGTTCTGCGGTCTCAGGAGGATTGTCACATTCTTTTGTGGCTGATCAGATAAAAGGAGAAAAGCCATTATTTCACCAAAAGGTACACAAGGCTGCTGGTGGAAGCTGGTTCTCAGGCCCTTGTTTATAAAAAGGTATATTTAGTTCTAGGACAGGGGTAGGCAACCTTGGCTCTTTTATGACTTATGGACTTCAATTTCCAGAATTCCTGAGCCAGCATGACTGGCTCAAGAATTCTGGGAGTTGAAGTCAACGAGTCATAAAAGAGCCAAGGTTGCCTACCCCTGTTCTAGGAGATAACAGGAACATACTCTCCTCATATCTTGACTATGGTTTACAAAATCAGGAAAACAGATATATATAATTTCATAATTTATTAGATTTGTATCCCACTGCAATTTAAAAAACCTCTTTGAGGTTCAGCTTTCTTTGACACTTCTAACATACTGTGGCTTCAGCAATGATTTAATAACTTTATTTTTCAAAATGATTTCATATGAATTGTTCATATGAAATTTCCAATATTATTGAACCTTATACTGTGTATCGTTACATATGAAAATTAATGGAGATTTTGCAGCTAGTGAATTAACCTGTGCTTAATGTTATTGTTTAGAGAAATAATTTATAATGCCTGGGTCTTCAAACTTGGCCGTTATATGACTTGTGGACTTCAACTCCCAGAATTCCTCAGCCAGCATGCCTATCCAAGCAATGTCAAATATCAAAGCTACAACTGACAGATGCAGGAGAGGAAAAATAAAAGAAAAAGCATCAAAATAGTAAAGTATCATAAAGAAACAAACAAACAAATAAAGAACTGAAAAAGCTAAATTAGAATCCAGGAAGCCTTGAAAAAGGATATAATTTCACTGACAGAATGCCTTCAGAGTAGAATGAAAAAAAGATCCAGATGTCTTTATTTGTAAAGGCTAACTTATTTTCCTGATTACTTGAACATATTTTATCACTACAGTGTTTTTTAAAGATTGAAATATCTTACAGACAAAGAGTTCCATATATGGAAAGCAAAAGAAGCTGAACTAATTGTGGCTTAGACTGTGCTGTTGAGTGATGAAACCCGCATACTTGTAGTCTTTTTTTCTAGAACCAGAATAAAATATTAATTTAACAGAGAAAATTTATTGGCTAACTTTTTGTAGAAGCACGTCTTTCTAATACCAGGGAACAAGTTTCATTTAAAACATCTTCCAAGAAAATCACTTCTCCTTTTCGAGTTTTCATGCCGTGAATTCTCCCAAAGGGCACATGCTGGCACCTACAAACACAGAGGACGAAAACATCAGGCTTGCTTATGTTCAACAACTTCTGACAACTGATGAGTCAATAACTTTCTGAGTCTAATATACATCATAGATAAAAGTGACATTTTCTCGGCCACAGAAACTACGAACCTATTCCTCAATAAGAATGGCATTTGCATACCTTTAGAGCTAAACCTGAAAAATACGCTACTTCCACCCTCAGCCACAGAAGTTCTATTTCAAAAGAGTTGCTGAAGTGAAGGAAAGGGGGAGAAGGAAATGTTATAGATCAGTGATGGCGAACCTTTTAGAGTCTGAGTGCCCAAAAACTGCCCCACCTCACCCCCACCCTGCCCACCCGCAGGGCCACCTACTGCCTCCATGGCCTGGCGCAGCAGATTGCCCAGTTGGCCCAGCAGCACCATGGTGGCCGTGCCCTCCTGTGCCCCGCAGCAACATCTGCATGTGACGGGGCATGAGGACGGAGTCTTGTTCCCGCAGCCATGTCCTTGGCTGTGCTGCTTTGCGCAGGCCGTGCCTGGGGGCAATTCTCCTCAGGGGGGGCTGCTGGTGAGGAGGGGGCCAAGGGGGGAGGCGGGGCTGGGGTGACAGCATGTGTGCCCACAGAGAGGGCTCTGAGTGCTGCTTCTGGCACGCGTGCCATAGGTTCGCCACCACTGCTATAGATGTTCCTTTAAGCTTCTAAATGAAAGGCGGGAATATAAATCTAATAACTAAATAAAACTACCAAAACAAATACAAAGTGCTCTATACTTATATACTGGTATTACCCATGGCCGAGAACAGTTTCTCATACTCTACTTTTATGGAAGTTTGTTTTACAGTTTCAAACTTTATTGACACCAAAACAGGATTAGATACAAGATATATCCACAAGTGTACATTACATAAGCACTCTTTCTTTCATTATCCATGCTATAGCTGGAACATAAAACTAGATTTTTTAAAAACAAAAAGGTCTATCATCTCAATAATTATGTAGGAAAGCTTGATATGGCAACAGGAGTCAAGAAGAATACACATATATGTACACACACACACACCCACACACACACACATTATTACCAACTTTATTTTCATTTTCATTTTAGAAGCTTATAATTCCATGGTAACCTAAATCACTTAGAGCAGGGCTTTTCAACCTTTTCACCCATTGTACCACTTTTGGGATATGGCAATATCCGAGTACCACCAGTTGCCTAGCAAGTTGTCAAAAACTTGATGATCAAAAAAAAAAAAAAAGGAAAAAAGTGATGAAATACTAGTAGTCCTCGACTTACAACAGTTCGCTTAGTGACTGTTGGAAGTTACAATGACACCGAAAAAAGTGCCAAGCAAGACCTGGGTGCCTGCCCACCCAGCGGTGCTCTTCCTCCTGTCCGAGGTTTTCATTGTTGTGAGCATTTCTGTTGAGGATTGGCAGTGGGGGTGGGGTGGGTGTTTGGTTTTTATTCTTCCCCCGTCTGTTGGGTGGTTGCAGCAGGTTTTGGTCACTTCACATGACCCTGGGACACTGTGACTGTCATAAATATGAATCAGTTGCTAAGCATCTGAGTGTAAATCACAAGACCCTGGAGATGCTGCAACATTCCGGCTGATCCTGGTGCTTCTTCTGGGCTCAGTGGAAATGCCATGATCAGCGCCGAGCTACAGCTGGAGCTTGGCACTGATCCTGGTGCTTCCACGGAGCCCTGACAACCCTGAAGAAGCGCTGATCCTGGTGCTTCCGCTGAGCCCTGACAGCCCCGAAGAAGTGCTGATCCTGGCGCTTCCGCTGAGCCCTGACAGCCCTGCAGCTCCAGCCATCTCTCGCTCAGGCTTTTGCGGTGCTGCCACCAGTTCAGCTCATTCCCCTCCCCCCCTACCACTTTTCTAGGATGGTCACGTACCACCTGCCAGGTGCCAATGTACCACTGGTTGAAAAGCCTTGACTTAGAGCAACTTCATATTTGCTTAACCATTAATCACTTTCCATTTACATGGGAAAAGATTTAATTTCACCTTCTCGAGATATCTGCTGCTACTAGTTCAATTCAGGGCTCTCTTTGGCTCCTCCTAAGTACAAAATGTGAACCTCCCAATGTTCTCTCTCAGATTCATATCTTCAATAATGAATGAGAATCTCAATGAAGTGAAATATTCTAAAAGCAACCAATTAACCCTCCAACAGCCAACAGAACTAATAGCATTCCACAGCCTTACTCTGGCCTAAAGGCAGATTCCAGAGCAAATGCTGAAATTGTATATAAGGAGATTATCTCCATATTTTAAAATTGATTTTTTAATTGCATGAATATTCTAATTTCATATGGGAGTTTAAGGATCCACAAATTGGCTTTCCCCTTACAACAGCCTCTGAGGTAGCTGAATTAAGAGGCACTCACTACTTTCCCAGCTCTACCATGGATGGGATTTAAACCTGGGTCACTCTTGTTCCAGTCTAATATCTTAATCACCACACTATTTCTTTAAAGCCTTTCATATATTTCTAGAATGGTCTTTGGTCATTCATATTCTGCCCATCTAAAGATTTAGAACATTTGATTTGTCACATTTTCCTCATCTAATGTTAGAAATACTATTGTTCAGTTTGGTTTGGTTTTTTTTTTTTTTTAAAAAAAAATTCTTGATATATTCACATTTACCTTTCTGCCCAACTGAAACCAAGTAATTTCAGAATCTGGAACATCTGTTGAAAATGAGAGCTTTGACTTTTATCTGTCTTGGAAGAGGAGAAAAACGATTTAGCCATTTAATACATAACAATCAAAGGCAAACACTATTATCACAGTTGATTTCCGAGGGAAAGAATGATGCCATGAATACTGTATTTATCACATGTGAGTTTTCTTTGGAAAATTACCCTTGGAAAAATTCTGATGTTCAAATTGTAACTGGGGCAATGGAAGGCTTGAAATATATATATTTCATATTATAACATTCCCCTCAGGATGCTGCTATAGAGCACTACATGCCAAAACAACCAGGCACAAAAGCAGGGTTTTTTTCCTTCATGCCATCACTCTACTGCACAGCTAATTCCCACTTTACTGTCTTATGTATATTTACCCATGTAGTAGGGCTGTATTACTATTATCCTCATCTTTTCTACTATCTTCTCTCTTAGATATCATTATTATATAATAATAATAATAATGATAAAGTTGGAAGGGACCTTTGAGGTCATCTAGTCCAACCTCCTGCTCAGGCAGGAAACCCTATACCACTTCGGACAAATGGCTGTCCAGTTTCTTCTTAAAAACTTCCAATATTGGAGCATTCACCGCTTCTGGAGGCAGGTTGTTCCACTGGTTGATTGTTCTAACTGTCAGGAAGTTTCTCCTTAGTTCTAGGTTGCTTCTCTCTTTGGTTAGTTTTCACCTGTTGCTTTTTGTCCTGCCTTCAGGCGCTTTGGAAAATAGCTTGACCCCCTCTTCTTTGTGGCAGCCCCTGAGACATTGGAACAATGCTATCATGTCCCCCCTCGTCCTTCTCTTCTTTAAACTAGACATACCCAATTCCAGCAACCGTTCCTTATATGTTTTAGCCTCCAGTCCCCTAATCATCTTTGTTGCTCTTCTCTGTACTCTTTCTAGAGTCTCAACATCTTTTTTTACATTGTGGTGACCAAAACTGGATGCAGTATTCCAAGTGTGGCCTTACCAAGGTATTGTAAATTATTACTCTGTTGTTTTGCATCTACACTGACAGCTTCTGCACTAGAGACAATTCTTTGTGTTTCTAATCACACTTGGCCAAATAAAATATCCTATCCTATCCTATCCTATCCTATCCTATCTCCAAAGAAGCCTCAGAAAACCTTCATTTTAGAACTTTAAACAACATTATTCAGCATGATGAATAAGCAGAAATAAAAGAAATATGGGTTTTGTTGGAATGGGATATTTTTCAAATAAGAGTAATGGGCAAAAACATCTCCTTCCATTTTGGAGGATTACCTGGCTGATATATTTTGGCTCTCTTATAAGCAGGAGCAACTACATCAAATAAGAGTAAATGTAGATGTTTTGTCATGGAGCTATTATCAAGACTATCCAAGATCTCATTTCCTCCTCCTGTAAAATTGAAAAGATCCTTCCCCATTCAGTTGACCTCCAAATTTTCAGCAAATGGAGATTACTGTCCAACATAATTAAAAAACATTTGGTTGGAAAAGACTAGTTTTGTCAAACAAGACACTGATATATCACTGAACTGCAGGTTTCCTAAATCTGCCAGCAGTACCTATCAAGCTTAGAGAAGCTGGGAGCCATCAATATATGACCATAGAACTCTGAGCTATAAATATTCTCCTTTATTGATGATCAACATAGTATGATATCATTATTTTCTTAGAAAACATCTTTTAAAATGGTTAGCTCAAGTCTAATACAATTTCTTAAAATGCTTTGACGCTGACAAGAAATACATTAACATCTTTGTCCTCTACCAAAGCAATTTATATAAACCATAGAATACCTACGACATATAACATAACATCAGGCTTATATTTTTCCATTCGGTCTATGGCAGCAGCAAGATCTCTGGAAAAAGAAACATGAAGAACAAATAAAATTCTCCAAAAGAAATATTCATTTACTTTATTTATTTTTTAAAAAACAATTCTATACTATCCTTCAAAATCATGAGAAGCTTGTGATTATATCTGTCCACCAGCAATATTCTATTAAATATATCAATAAGGTTAAAATAATGTTTACTAATAAAGAGTCACATAACATGCTTGCCTTGTTAAGTAAAGCGAAGTTCCATCGCTACGCATCACAGTAACCAGGTCTCCATTTTCAGAAAGACGAACTTTTCCTGCTCCTTCTCTGAAAATCATGAACAATCTACTTGTAAGAAGGAATTATATACTGGTTTTCTTAATATCCTCTTCCATAGCTAGCTAGCTAGCCTAATAAATAAATATTGTTTCAGAATTTCAAGAATTGAGATTATATTGCAAGAAAAAAAATGCTTTGAAGTTGTGGTCTAATGTTAATGGGAAATAAAAAAGGCAACTGTAAGCCCTGAAATAAAAGCTCAATATGTTTTTTAAAGCGCTCTCCCCAAACAAAAATGAAATTCACAACCCCACATATATAATACAACTCCTGTTTACCTACTGCAGCCCTTGTTCGCTGCACAGTATTAAATACAGCCCCTGGCCACCCATTTTATTATCATGTACAAAAGATTCCCCTTCCTCCAATGCTGCTGGGATAATAAATTGTTTGTTTTCCCCTTCTTACTTGCTATTACATGCGAAATAAGTATTGTGATTAAAATAAATATAAGCAGGTTTATTGAATCAAATTTAAAACTGAAGGTTTGGCATTAGCTTCTTCAGCAATTAATCAGAAATGACTTTAAATTGCTACGTGTGATCTATAACACAACAAAAATATGGATCTTGGGGAAATAACGTTCCTTTACAAGTTACAATGGCAAAGGATGAAAGGTGAAAAGGGACATCTGAACCCTAGATCTTGTTCAATTCACATATACCCTACCCCAACCCCAGTCTGTAGACCAGGCTGCGGCACGCCAGAAACCGGGCTACGCAAACAAGCAAAGCCCCTTCCACGGGATGCAGGCAGCACACAAAAACATGCCCCCTCCAGTCTGCGGAAAAAGTCTCTCTCCATAGAACCAGTCCCTGGTGCCCAAAATGTTGGGGGCCACTGCCCTAGCTGTACTCCTGTGTACATGTACTCCTATCTGTGTTCCAGAACTTTTGAGACTGTGTTCAGATTAAAAATCCCAGGAATCACAGAGAGCATGCCTAATGATTATCCTGGCTAAAAAAATTGAGAATTTTGTTTCCATAGATCTGGAGACATCTAGTTGGGGAAGATTGTCCTAAAGAACCTTTATGATAATACATGAAAAAGACCACAGAATGTCCAAGGTCGTATTGATGATTCCCCAACCCCCCGTCCTATGCAGGATGGAAGCAAAGGTACCTATTAAAAGTATGACAAGTTGGCAGTTTCTATGTACTTTAGGTCTGCAAGTCTTGTAAACATTTCAGATTCCATTTCTCATCTTAAAGTGATTATGTTGCCCCAAACAGAATAAAGTATCCCTGACTGAAACTGTATTTGCATGTCAGTATTCACAAAATTACGTTAAGTTACTTAAATCAGCAAATATTAATAATGTATTTCAGACAAATGGTCCAGCTTTAAAGTGATATAGCTTTGATTTAATGTACAATACATTAAGACGAACAGATATTTAAAAAAACTGGAAATAAAGAATCCATTCATACATTTTCGTAAGAAGCCCTTTTGCATCCAACCTCTTTAGAACTTCTTGACTTTTCTCTTGATAAAATGATTCTCCAGAATATTCATTAAAGTAGATTCCCAGACGCTGGACAGCCCATTCAAGAAAAGAGGAAAATAATTACAATCAGCAAGAATAATCTCATCTGAGACCACCTTTTTCCAATAAAAAGTTGTAATTGCCAGAATTCCAATTCAGCACAGTCATGTAATTTCTATGCTTCTGATGGCTTCCGGCTTGAAGACTTTCTAGGGTCTAACCCAAAACAGACAGTACAAATGAAAATGGAGCTTTAAAAACATATATCAAGAGATTTTGAAAAAAAATGTAAATCCTACTCAGTCATGTAGGAATGTTGAAATATTTTGTCAAATTTAATTGCAGACATATATTATTGTTCTATTAACATGCTAATAAGTTGCAAAAGGTTTTTTTATATGGAATTCTACGCTACAGATATTCCATTAAATCAGCAAGGCTTTATAAGTAAGTTATGTGAGACAAAAAACAAAATAAAAACAATGCACCAGAACATTATATTATACCAAATGACACACACCTATCCATCTCATGTATATCTTTACATCTGCTTCATCTATCCTTGGTTGTCTTAATTATAATTCATCATGAATATTTTGTTAGATTTTACAATACATTTCCACATTGTCAATTATTGCTTAATAAACTTCACTTACAACTAATTTAGCTATTTTTTCTTTCTTAGTTAATTAAACTGCAGCTTCATTAATGTTAATAGACCAATGCTGCATTATTTTATTTTTATTTAAGTATGTTATGTCTCTATTGCTGGATTTTGCAATAAGTTGGTCACTTATTAAAATAAAGTTATCTCACTTTTTGAATCATGTAGTGGCCTGTTTTACAATGCATACTATACTGTAGAATTGTATCAGACAACTCTAAAGGTGCACATTTTTCAGAAATGCAAAGATATTCAAGTGTCATTATACCTAGAATGAGATAATTCCTAAATACTGAAAGAAAAGATTCAGCTCAGCACCTTATACACCCGAGCATATTCTTCAACGCTAACATCTCTAAAATGTTGCCACAATGACAAGGCCTTTTCTTCCTGTGCTTCCAATTTTCTGAAGAAATCTTGTGCCAGAGTTTTAATATTTTCATCCTCTTCTGAAGCTTTGTTGACCTGTACATAAACCTGTATAAAAATCAATGAAATATACAGGACAGTTCAATCAGAAAGTCTTCTCCATCAAGAAAAGATTATAGTCCACGGTGAAACCTTTACTTTGTATTCAAGACATTCCAGGTTCAAAATCCTGTAATCTTCACCACAATGGCAAAGATCACAGGAAGCTCAACAAGGAAAGACTGCTATCCCAATATACAAGAGCTGATAATCCCCTCCAGAAAATGGCAGACTCCTATTCCATATTCCATTAGCTACTAGCCTTGCTAATTGGGACTGAAGTCCAAGAATACTTGGTGATTTACTTTAACTCTTCGCCACACCATCTTTTTAATAAATGTCACTTCTTTAAAGAAAGAAAAAAAGGACTTGTTTCTACTTAGACAACTGAACAAAACCTAACAATTATAGGAATATAGGAAGTTGCCATACAGAAGGCCAGCTTCTTTGGCCACTGTTGTCGGCCCTGATTGCTAGTAGTTCTCCAGGGACTCAGATACAGTATCTGCCCCCAATATCTTCTCATTCTATTTAGTTAAATATGCCATGGAGTCTACTTGCAACACAAACAGAAAAGCAAAATAAAAATATTAAAAAAGAAAGAATTGTGGCCTTGATAAGTTTATGGTCATTCACATTATGATTTTAATAGAGTGCAATTATATTAACATACCTCAAAAAGATGCTGCAAAGGATTGGATTTCAGCTTTTCTTCAGAACCAAACCACTGGAAGCCAGCTCCCAATATACCTGAAAAAAAGTAATTATTTCACATGTTACAAAGGAGGTTGTTTTTTTTTATAAAATCAGTGAATAATTTGCCCTTCTTCTATTTTCAGTAATAAAAATGTAGATGGTGAATTTATAAAGTAAGTCTCAAGATTACACTAACCAAAAGCACATTGGTGCATGCTATAAATTTTGACACCCATAGAATAAATTACTGACTAAGGATATTAATCAATTTGACATAGGAGTTCTATAAAAGGACATACATTGTGTACTTAGATATTGAAACAGGATTTGTACAGGGGTGAGACAAGGATGTGCATAAAAAGAAGGAAACAGAAAATTTGTCCTGAGTGGCACAAATCTACTCATAACTAAAGATCGACTTTTACATGATGACATGATAGTGTGGCAACACAATATCCCAGTATCACACAGTGTGAGGAAAAAGTGTAAAGAACGTAAGGAACGAAGAAGCAAAAAGAGGTTCCACTGGAAGAAGCAACTAAGGGGAAACTAAGTTGCTAAGAACTGGAATATTCCCAAAATTAAGCGGTAGTTTTCTGCACATCGCGGATCCAATTAACCTTATCCATAGATGTTTATTCTTTACATACTGATTCTAACTGGCTTACAGAATAGGATTAAAACATAAAGTTAAAAAAAATACAACCCAAACATTATAGATTATGGATTATCTCATATTTTTGAAGATCCGTGAAAATATGACCCTTCCTGGAAACATTTGGAGATCCTTGAAGAACTCACTGAGATTACTAGTAGCATATCAGCGCTTTCTTGTTGTTATGTTATTGATCTTTAAAAATATATTTAAATTTTATGTTTATTATTTGTCAGTCACTACAAGTTTTCAACACTGGAAGACATACATCTGAACAAACAAAGAAATAAACAAAATATCCCGGAGTTGCAGAGCTTCCTGATGCTGAGAAGTCCCGACATGTGTAAATTAACAATGGAAGTCTGCACTGTAAAAATGACTATATAGAGACGTTCATGAATCTGGCTTACACAGTCTTGAATCCTGTCTGTCATATAAGGATTCACAACACAAATATTCTCATTCAATGTGTAGAGAATGAAGGGGATTAGGGAGAGGGAGCTGTGTCGTATTAGAGCCTGGGATTATTCTGCCATGAATAGTGGACCTCCCTTTGGGTCAATAATGTGAAAACATCACTGAGGCAACAACCCAATCTAATGTTTGAAGGTCATTGTTTGGATACTGATCAGATTACCTGAAGATCAAACTAGGGGTACTGAGTCTATCTTAAGTTCGGGCAATGTTAAAGCTTTTGTTTTGCACTCTTAGTCTCATTAATAGAAGTAATTTCTACTATTTTGCAGGGCAGTTAAAGGAGAATAATTGCTGTTTATTTTCATATTTTGAATTTTAAGAAGAATTTCCACAGTTACCTGATCGTCTAATTTCCTTAGCTCCCTTTCTCTTCCCTCTTTTTTTTCCCTTATCTTTTTTCATTTAATTTTATTGTGAATTCTCGGATTAAACAGCAATTTATTCTTACACAGAGATTTCCTGGGTTAATTGCTTGTGCTCCGAAAGAAGACACACTGGGAGTTAAGTGTGGCGATAAAAGCCAAAATACAATTATTAAAACTCAAGACACTATTAACTGATCTCAGCCTGTGAGGAAATGGTGCACACAATGTAAGTATGGAATTAATAAAGCTAGGTTAAAACCTTTTCAAAACAACAACTGCAGAAAAACAGAAGCTTTGTGCTAACAGGTTACTTGCCCAGCAGATTTCAGAAGGACACAATTTAAAGCCACCCACATGCAATAGAAACACTAGAAACAATAACAGAAACTACTGCTATCTGAATACACACACAGACACACACACACACACACACACACACACACACACACACACACGTAAAAGACTATTTTCTTCAACTGAAATAATACCCTTTTCCAGAGAACATTAGGACCTGCCCAAATCGCACTACAAATGTGAAATGCAATCCCAGAACAGCCCTGCAATGCTAGGAAGGCCTTGCACGTGGCTCCTTCTCTGTTACAGTCAAACGGGCATGGTGTTCTGGAATTTGTTGCTGAGAATTTAAAAAGTTTCTTGCATTCACATTTTTACTGTTTTTAGTATATGTTTATGCACATACAAATATGTATGTGCATAAGCTTGGCAACTTTTTAGTATAAGTATATTTTTAGTAAAGTATTCTTATTTTAACCCTCCCGGTGATCGTATTTTATTCTTTTATTCATACAAATATGTATAGATAAAGATTGGATGGTTCAATACCCAAGTCTTATGAATTTTTAGAATTAAGTTCAGTGATTTATCTTTAAGGTACAGAACAATTATCTTAAAGAGAAAAGGAATTTATAAATTGCACCTATCAGTATTCTCAGTTTAAAAAAATGATCTAATTTCTCTTAGCCTGCGTAGGGTCCTCTTATTCATTTCCACAATAGAACTGCAAGCTTTTTGTTTTTAAAAAGCTCATTATGACAAAGTTGAAAATAACCTGCCCTAGATTATGTTACACTAACCATAAGACTGATTTTTTAATATATATATATATATTTACCAAACTGCATGCCCCAGTCTCCAAGATAATTTATTCTTGTTACTTGATGTCCAATCGCTTCATTGATATTTGCTATGAAATTCCCTGAAAATAAATCATAGTAATTATTTCTCCCAGCTGTATTCTTATCCCCAAATGCTCATTTTATGTAATCTGATCTCCCTTTTCTATCACTGTACATATATTATTCAGTTAATAACAGTCAGTGACAGTTTGAAGATACAATTAGTACTGATACTGAGCAAGCAATGGTTACAATTGGTCTTCAAAGTTCCGGTCATCCCAGCACCTTTTTGGTCATGTGATCATGATGAGGCAAATGGCTTGCACTTACAACTGTCACAGCACCCTGAAGTCACATGATTGGCATTTGGATCCCTGCCAGGGTTCCCATTACCTAACTTTAATAAGAAGAACTATCAATCTGCATTAAGTAATAAATTTAAGGGAACACAAATTGGCAGAATAAAATTTCTAGGTTTGAAAAGAAGTGGATTACACCTCTAGGCTATAGTTTTTTATAGCTCTTATTTAATGTATATTATCTAGAAAGATCACAAGTGAATTCTGAGTCTTTCTTTTGAACTTCTGAATCATCTAAAGTTTTTAGATGTAAATGTCATGGTTCCGACAGATGGAACTCTTCAAAAGAACTTTGAGGTGTGGTTTACCTTAAAGAATCTTTTATTCGAGAAACAAAGTATCGGCACTACATAGTTGAAACCAAAAACTAAATTCCCCTCCCCTGGGCACAAATTAACAAAGCACAATTCCCTCCTCCAATAAACAGTCATAAATCACATTCCCCAATTAGCTTAAAGCGGGGGCTTTCTCCCCCAGCTCTCCAGCCCGCTGACTGAGTTATTATTGTTATGACTAGCTGGACTCTCATCCACATTCCCCCTCCCAGCATCAACTAACTCTAAAAGCAATAGAGGAAAATGGCTGCATTTCCATCTGTTGTCAAACAAGAACATCCGATGTTAGCAGCATTGACAGTAAAGTAATTCAGCTTTGCTGTTTCAACATTGGAGTTAAAACTAGCTGATTATTTTTTTCCTTATTCCCAAAATCATTTTAAGGACTTTGTTTGATTCTATCTCAATCTGGTCCTCTTTTGAGAAACTTTCAAAATGCATACAAGCAATACCCATGTAGCAATGACTTCAAAGCAGCTCAAAGCTTATCATATACCCCAAGACTAAATATCAAGTAAGTACGATTAAACATCAGCGCCTACTGTTTACAGGCTAGTTACAAGTCCTGTCACTTAGACTACACTTAGTTACATTTAGATCTTACCTATTAATGTAGAACGCAGGTGACCGACATGAAATTTCTTTGCAATGTTGGGTGAACTGCAAGAAATGTGAACATTTGTCATTTAGGTTCCATTCCCCACTTTCCAAGAAAGGAATAGAGATATCGAACTAGACTTTACCTCAAAACTTTTTATTTATTAATAACCTCCTTTATTATTTTTACAAATAACTCAAGGTGGTGAATATATCAAACACAGCTTCCTGTTTTCTCCACAACAACAACCCAGTGAGGTAGGTTGGGCTAAGAGAAAGAAACTGGCCTATGGTCACCCAGTTGGCTTTCATGACTAAGGCGGGACGAAGATATTCTCCATTTAGCTCATATTGTGAAGCATGTAAAGCAGTGGTTCTCAACCTGTGGGTCGGGACCCCATTTGGGGTCAAACGACCATTTCACGGGGGTCACCAAACAACGCAGTCCACCATTTTTTTCCCTTTTCCCTAGCTGTCCTACTCCCTCTTATTGGTGGCCACACCCACTTGGGGGTCACCACAACATGGGGAACTGTTTTATGGGGTCACGGCATTAGAAAGGTTGAGAACCACTGATGTAAAGGAAAACATGAATGACATGTCAAACTATGCAGACAATATAGTATGGTAAAGCAAATGGAACCATGGGCATGTCCATCGCTAGTAAACTGAACACGTATGAACAAAATCAATACTGGAGGATATCTTTCAGAAGTATATACTGTATGCTAATCCACAGGTCTTTCAAGAACACAAAATGCACTGTGTATCTATATTCATGTTCTTTCCTATGTTTTCTTGCAATATGAAATAACAAAATTGTGTCATAACAGAACTGGAACCCTGCGTGTTCCAAGGGAAACTGAACATGAGTATTTCATATGTTCAAAAGTTCAAAAAGATGGATTTTGGTACTCCGTAAACCAAAATGAATGCTTTACTAGAAAGAAATGAACAAAACCAATCTTAGGCCAATGCTGATTTTCAGACAGGTTGCTTACATAGCCAATCTGTAAACCTGCATGGTATTTTAGGCATGCTCCAAAATAACTAAGCCTATATACTCACCTAAAATCAATCAGAACCTTTTTGTTTGGCAATCCTGAGAAAAGTTCGCTCTTTATTCCATATTCAGAGCCATCTTCAAATACCTGCTGCAACACTGTCTTAGGAAGCAAAATATACACAGCTACAATGGGAGTAATGAATTAAGGGATCATTTTGAGACCAAGTTAATGCCTTACATTGATATTTGCAAGATCATTAATCTCTCATTTCACAAAAATCTTCTGAGTTCACATCAGCTAAGCAGACATCTGCAAATGCTTTTCAAATGCACAGACAGCAAGCAGCCAATGCTAATTCATCTTTTTTTGAGTTTTGATTACTCTTTTGAATGGAGAACATTCTTATTTTTCAATCTGCCCGTGCTCTGTTCACAAAACATGGTAGTCATATCCACACAACTATATTTTTTAAACAGGTTAGCAATATTACAATCAATAATGACATTAATTATGGATATCATAAATTACATTACTATTATTCATGCAAAATGGTTCATTTTTTTAAAAAAAATTGCTGTTAGGTGAATGCTATTCCTTTTTATCCGGTGTGTTTATTTGTAAACTGTGTTTTATTGTTTTATATTTTGAACATTACATCATTATTTGCATCTTGGGGAGAACATTTGAGTTTAGACTATGAAATGGAATAGGGATTATATGCTATATACTTGTATCTCTTAACGAAAACACTAGCTTCAGATTCAGCCTGTTTTTCTATTCTATAGTTCATAAGACATTACCTCTTACCTTTGCTAATAAGTCTCGATTTATCGTGAAATCTACTGTTCCTTTGCCTGGGCTGATTTTGCTCACAACTGCATCACATTTTAGCTAAAAGAAAAGTAAAACATATAGACAAAAGACTATACCACAAATAAGTAGAACTAACTGGCACACTGCATTATGCGATTTCACATTTTCAAGCAGCCTCTGCAAGGAGGGCAACAAGGTAGAGCAACATTGCAATGGGAGGTCTGCTGCTTTTCTAGATGCATTTTCACACAGCATGCATGTGCCAAAGGGGCAGAGCTTGTGGCAAAATGCCGCTGTGTCTTTCTGACAAAAGTAGCAAGAACTTGTACACAATGTTGTCTTCAAGAATTATAGCACCTGTAGCTGGGTCATCCACGCAAATAATTTTTAACAACATTTCAAGCAAATGTGGAAAGACCATAGATTGTACTTTGCAGTTGTTGAAAGGTAAAAGAATGGCTTTTCTTTTCACTATTAAAAACAACAGGACAAAGAATTGACCTCCAAAAAGCTTCAAAATCTGTAGCTCAGGATACCATTTTTTCATCATATTTATGCAGTACAAAACATTTGATAAGCAATTGTTATTGACGCTTCTGATTAATGCTTATTGCTAGATACCTTGTTTGCCAGCTTCTCCGCCTGAAGATTAATATCCGATGTTGTATAATCTGTAGAATTAGTATCTAATATAGAACTCATAAAAAACTGGAAATCAGCAGCTTGCCTTTAAAAAAAAGGGAAAAAATGTAAAGGTTCAGATTCTTTTTGTGACAGAGAGGTCAGGATTCCTAAGATATAGAATTAACATAGCTGAAAGTATTTTCATCCTCAAAAGTTTCTGAAAGAGCAAATGATCTGTGAAAGTAATATGCCTAGTTAACAATATACAAGCTAGACTTTGTAGTTCCTATTCTTCAAATCTTAAAAACCGTAAAATGGCACTTAAGAGATCTGTTTGCCCAATGATGCCTAATGTTACCACCCTTGTGGGAATGTTCTGGTCTCTCAGATATTAATGAACTACAACCTACAGTAGTCCTGGTCAGCAATGCAAAGGATACTGGGAATTACAATTCACTAATATCTGTAGGTCACTGGCTCCTACTCCTGTCTTAGGCGATATTAGAAATAATATGAATTAGAAACAGAGACTGAATGAGTTAAAATGCAGTGCCAGGACTTTACCCCTACCGGTAGTTTTATTCGCTATTTTGTACATATCACAAAAGGATCTCAAGAAATTAAGGTTCTAAAGTATAAATATCCTACCTATTTTTGGATACTGGAACAGCAGAGATTGATTTTACCAGGTTTTCTGGCGGAATCTTCAAAACATGTGAAAGCTATTTGAAATAAAATTGCCAAATTAAGTGTGGCAGAATAAATAGGCAACAAAATCCTTGCCATCATTTTATCTTCTATTTCATTACATAAAAATTTATTACATATAAACACATACAGAGGTTACATTCTTCCAGTGTACAGATGGAGATTCATCCTTCTTTCCTACTTCCATAAGAATCAACCAAAATTTATGAATGCCATACATCAGGGGTCCCCAACTCACCGGGTCACAGCCCACTACCAGGCTGTGGCCTGTTCGGAACCAGGCCGCGGAAGCAGCAGGCGAGCGCATACACAGCTCTATTTGCATGAGCAGCAGGAAGGTGGGTGGGCAGGTGTGAAGCTCCATTTGTGCAAGCAGTGGGTGCGTGTGCCTGCTGCTTGTGCAAATGAAGCTGTCCATGCATGCGTGCGCATGCCACTTGCACACCATCCCCTCTCCCCTCCTCTGCTGGTTCGCAAAGCCAGAAAAGTTGGGGACCGCTGTCATTCATTATCCTTTGTGGAACTGGAGTTATCATTTCTACTGAAGATCAGCAGTCAGATAAAAATGTACAGCTTCACCATACATTTCCTTTCTGGAACTGGAATTATCTTTTCCACTGAAGATCAACATTCAGATAAAGACCTACAGCTTTGAATCTAGAAGGTACAGGTGCTTCAAATCCAAACAAGCAAATAGATAAGTCTAGGTGCTATAAAACAAGCGAGGTCCATCACTCCCTGTTGGTTAGCAATGCCATACTTACATATGGACAACTACCCAACTTGAAGCAGATTTTCAGAAGCAACAAGAAACAACAGGACAATGATTCCAATATGGAAAGCAAGTCCTGCAACAATACTAGATGCCTACTTTGCCCCTATACCAACATCACCATCACAGACCCCAGCAAGTACCTACAGAAAATTAGATGTGTCTTGACATGTTCACCCTCCAGTGTACAAGAATCAATACAAACAAATTTGACATCAGTACTTAAATTGAGGGTAAAGCTATATCAGAGCATTTCAACCTCCCAAGACATTATAAGGAAGGCCTCAAAGTGACTTTTTCTGGAAAAACAGGTCTTAATAGCATAGATCAGTGGTGACGAACCTATGGCACATGTGCCAGAGACAGCACTCAGGGCCCTCTCTTTGGGCACCCGCGCCATGCCCCGGAGATGGCAACCGTCCTCTTCAACCAGCCACCCACTAACTCACCGAGGTTCCACCTGGCCGGATGCATCCCAGCACCCATGCGCTTGCAGGCCTGTGTGTGGAGGTCGATGGTGCCAGGCCCCTGCCTTGCCCTGCGACAATGGCACCCCTGCCCTGCTTCGCCTCACCCACAGGACCAGCCTCCTGCCTGCAGCCCCACCCACCAGAGACCCCCCCCGGATCTCCCCCAACCCTGCCCGCCCCCCACAGGTGTCCCTCCCCAGGAGCAACATTGAGTTGGCCACGCCCAACCAGCAGCCACGCCCACCCGGCACCTGGTGATACATAAGTGGATTTTGGGTTGAGGTTTGGGCACTTGGTCTCTAAAAGGTTCGCCATCACTGGCATAGATGGTTAAACATGGAAAGGTTTCAAATTATTTAAAAAGGAATCAGCAAACACAATATTTTTTTCACACATTATAAATTCATAAAACATGTGTAATCTCTCACAAGTAACCTACATCAGCATAACCAACCTGTCTTCCCCTCCTCTCCCAATCAGCCTTCCCATCTTAGTATCCGATGAAGTGAGCTCCAGCTCACAATAACTCATACTTCTAAAATAAAATTTGCTGATTGGAAAAGGGGCCACCAAATTCCTGGTTGTTTTTCCCCTACAGAAGGAATGCACTACAGAAGTTTTTGAAAACTATTTTCAAAAATATCTCTTTGAAAAATGAACAGGTATTTCAGCGTCTCTGGGATGCCAAAAACAAACCCATTATTTTACTGGAGTCCAAGTAAATTATATCCACAGCATTTCCCTGATACACTAATTTAGTCACTTAATCACATAATAAAGTTCGCCCGGCATAATCCATGGAACAGTTTGCCTCCTGGAGTTGGGGGTGCTCCATCCCCGGAGGTCTTCAAGAAAAGACTCTACAGCCAATTGTCCGTGACAGAATAAGGTCTCCTGCCTTGGGCAAAGGGTTGGACTAGAAGACCTCCTAAGTCCCTTCCAGCCCTATGATTCTATGAAAAAAGATGATCAATACCTGAGCAGCGATGCACTTCCGGAAACGACACCTCGCCATAGTTCTCGTTAAGAGTGGCGCTCTTCACTTTTCCATCCCTCCGTCATGGAACAGCCCACTTGGGGGAGGAGCCACTTCCAGCCTGACTCCCCTTTCTGGTCACGGGGGCGGTCGCAGAACTCGCCTCAGAAAGGGAATACGCAGACTACGAGCACGAACTGGGCTAGACCATAGCATTCGCAGGGCGGGAAAGAAACGGCTGCACGCTCCTGATTCCGGAAGTGCGTGTGTGGACGGGACTAGCGGGGAAGGTGTCCTTCCGGAAGTCCGTTCACGAATGTTGGAGGTCTAGCCCGGCGCCGGAGGGGGCTTCAGCCTTCGCTATGAGCACGTGCTCGGTTTCCAAGGTGAGTCGGAAGGAGAGGGAGTGGATTCAGTCTCCTCCCTCGAGGAATCGAACGGACGCCTCACTTTTGGGTCTGTGTGAGGGAGTCAGTTTGCGATCCTGGTGGTCGCTTAATAATGTCCCTCCCTCTTCGGGCATGCGCATATGGGTCGCTGAAGCTGTAGTTTGGTGGCTTTCCCGCTGTGTGTGGGTTGTGTTGCGCGGCGACAACAACTCGCTTCTTTCTTTCTTTCCCATTGGGAAGATGGAAAACTGGCAGAAAAGGTTGTTGGCCCGAAAGGAAGACACTAAGTGGAAAAAAAGCAAAGCGAGGAGTCTGAAAAAAAAATGTGATTGTGGTCATTGTCCTTTTCACCCGGTCAAGTCCCTCAATCTGCGTTGTTCACAACTCTCCTGTTCCATGTTTAGGAGGTAGCATAGTAGAAAGGGGGCGTCTTTCCCTCCCGGATGGAATAGCCCTGTTAAAGAAGTTTTCCCTCATTTATTAACTGGCAGACAAACCTTTTGGGGTGAGAGAGGGAGGTGAGGAAAGGAGATGTTCATGCCAGAAAATATGCACTTTCCTTGCCTTTCCTGGCTGATCATGGTTAAGGTAAGTAAGTAGACATCTGGTTAATGTATTGATGGGATATATGCGGGAAATCCCAAGGTGGTAGGCTACACTGGGAAGTGAAGAAAGCAAACTATTTAACTATTTCTGCCAGGAAAGCACACAGGCATTTCCATAAGTAACCAGTTTGCCTTTTATTTTCCCTAGTATTTGTAGAAAGAAGCTATAGTGCAGTGGTTCTCAACCTTTTTAATGCCGCGACCCCCAACCGGTCTTAAGTCGAGGACTACTCAATTGGTGCAGCACCGTTTGCAGAATGGGACTTTTGGCGGGCTCAGCAGGGCAGAGACAGCCTGGACAATTCCTATTGGCTTTTGAAAGCCAATAGAATTAGACTCTATTCAAGAGACTCTATTCTGTTGGCTTTCAAAAGCCAATAGAATAAAAGGGAGTAGCACAGCTAAGGAAAAGGGGAAAAAAGTGGCAGACTGCGTTGTTTGGCGACCCCAGTGAAATGGTCGTTCAACCCCAAATGGGGTCCCGACCCACAGGTTGAGAACCACTGCTATAGTGTAACCTCTCTTAGTGCTTTCTTGCTAGACAGTACACAGTATCTCTAGAAAAGAGATCGCCAAAGGTTTGTGGCTGGTGTGGCTAAAATTTGGGGAACATGGGTTCTTTGAAAACTCACAAAACGAGTTCTACAGAGGTCATAACAATTGCAAAGACTGATCCACAAGGATGCTGCTTGCCACCAACTGTAGGTTTCCCCTTCCTGCAAAATTGCTGCTTTTCCATTGTTTTTCTGGGAAGCTGGGCATATTTCCAAACTAAACATTAGATTACAACTATTCATTGCTCTTATTTTCTAATAAAACTTTCAGGATCCAGAGGAAAGAGTAGAAGCAAAAATAACGGTAGTGTGTTGTTTTTTTTGTCTTTAATTTTTGTTTTTGTTCATTTTCCTTGAGCAAATAACCCATTTGGCCCCATGAACTGTAGGTAAACTGACAATCTTGAGTCACCAGTTGGGAGCCATGTCTAGTGGATCTAGAGAGCTATCCCCATTTACTAAACATGGGATATTCCTCTCTTAAATATTATTCTAACCCTTTCTTAGCATCTCTTCTAGAGATCTCCCAGTGTCTTCCCAAACCCAATGTATAGCCTTTGGTCTAAATCAGTGGTTCTCAACCTTTCTAATGCCGTGACCCCATAATACAGTTCCCCATGTTGTGGTGACCCCCAAGTGGGTGTGGCCACCAATAAGAGGGAGTAGGACAGCTAGGGAAAAGGGAAAAAAATGGCGAACAGCGTGGTTTGGCGACCCCCGTGAAATGGTCATTCGACCCCAAATGGGGTCCCGACCCACAGGTTGAGAACCACTGGTCTAAATCCAGTATGGGTTGGTCCATTTATTCAGTGACTTTTTAAAGTTATAATGCCACTGAAAAAATGGACATAAGACCAATCCTCAAAGTTCTGATCATCATAGCACCTCACAGTCATCACATCACATTTATGATCATGTCCCCCCCCCCCAATGCCACCAGCTGACTTTCACTTTGCATGCCTCCCCTCTGCAGAACTTATCAACACCATCTGGTCTCAAGTCCTAAGGAGTGGGGGCTCTGTTTGCCCTCCTCCTCCAGCTGCCTTATCACAGAGGAAATATTCAATTGCTGCCAGGCATTTTGGACATGCACCATGGGCGGGGTGGGGATGGGGTGGGTGTATCTCCAAAAGGCCACTGCCTGGCAGGATTGCCCTGGCCAGCAGTGGCACATGGCTTGGAAAATTCATGGCCCTGGCTCCTGTTCTTCCTTTTCCAGCACCCACCTTTGCTCACCCCACCTATAACTCTCACCCACCAGCTTATTGCTTGTGTCTCCCATCTCTTCCCATGTCATGGTCACATTAGCTTCTCACTTAATGACTGCATCAATTAGCAATGGAAATCCCAATCCTAATTGCCATTATAACTTGAGGACTATCTGCATAATTTGTCATAAGACTGTTTTAGTTGATTGCTCAAACAATTTCAGTTGTGGTGTGCTAAAACCACCTAATTCAGGGGTCTTCAAACTGGCTGACTGGCACGCTGGCTGAAGAATTCTGGGAGTTGAAGTCCACAAGTCATAAAAGGACCAAGTTTGAAGACCCCTGACCTAATTCTTCTTCATAGTTGTAATCTGAGTCTTTGTTGCCCAATCAGTTCCCAAAGCTGTGTCTGTGATCCTATCACTAATCCAAAATATTATGAATGTGATCCAATCACAAGACTGACTCTGATTAGGATGACAACAATGATAGTATTCTAAGGTTAGCTCCAGTCTGAAGACAGATCAAATTGATCTTGAAATCCTTCTCCCCTCTCCAGCATTGTAATTTGCCCAAGTTGAATATCATTTGTTCCTCCCAGTTTTTAATAAGATTGTTGCAGTATTGCTAGTCTCAGCACACGGGTGTTTCAGTGCAACACAAGTAAATTTTTGTTCAATAACAAAGGAGAGTTAGATCTGTTTATTCAGTTTTGGGTAAATGACTCTTGATTTATTCCAATTTCCTGTATAATTTGGGGTTTGTACAGGCATGAAGTACAATTCTAGATAAGCTTTTGGCCTGAGCCAGCGAAGACTTCATATGTTACTATGTCTCATGTTTAAACCATGCTGTGATAATAGATAATTGATATACTTCTTGAATACTAAAAATTCAGCATTATGTAGGAAAAGCTCACTTTTTGGGTATTGCATATTTTGTTTGATATATACAATATTTTCATGTTATGGGCAGCTTTTAAAACAGCATTCTCTTCATACTTTCTCTGAAAGGGAATCTATACCAGTCATTTCTTGTGAATAAATAAATATTAAATAAATCAATATAATTAAATATATATAAGAATAAACACAATATTTATCAAATGACCCTGTCATATTTAAAGGTTTTGTACATAAAATCTTTAGAAATTAAAAAAAAAACAGTAAATAAGAACAAACCTTTATTTTGTTTGGCGGTATACATTTTTGAAAATTTTGCTTATTGTTTTGAAACTGTGAACATTATGTTGTGTAAAATATAGTTTTATGCATTTGAATTTTTTTCATGATAGAAAATATTTATTTTGAAATTCATATTTTGAAGTAAAATATATTGAAAAGTATTTTTCCTACCATGAAGAAAACGTTCTAAAAATTCCTTTATGAAACAGTGGCAATTGCAGATATTCAGTTTCTTATAAAAGTGAAGGTAGCATATTTGTTAGTCCACTTAATAAATCCTTTGTTCGTCTTAGAAAAAAACTCTGATTGTTCTTTGTTGAGACATTAGGGAATATACACAATAAAACATAATTATATTCCTTGGATGCCAGCCCCATGGAATTGTTTTTAATGTGGGTTGATTCGGCACACAAACACATATGGTTTCTTCTGTACTATTTGGAGTAGCTCATTCACATCTACTTAGTTTACTAAAAATGGCATAGATAAAAATAATTTTATATAAATAAAAGATAGTGTTTCTAGTTTTTCCAGTTGCAAAAAGGTGAAGTTTGGAGGAGCAAATGTTAATGAAGGAAATATAAAATTAAATAAGCGCATCACTTATAATAGGTCATTTCTGTCAGTGTAGAATTAGGCCAAAATGTTTAATGGAATCAATATTTCTCTCTCTCTCTCTGTCTTTAGGGCTGCTTTGTATTCAAGCCAAATTCTAACAAGAGAAAAAGATCTTCAGCAGGTTAGTGTGCAATAGATACTGTAAATTTCCTGCAGCAAAAGGAAAATTACATGACTAATATTTTGTATGTAATAAAATGAAAGTTATCACTTTGACAAGGCAATGAAACACAAATTAGAAAAAAAGGGAAGGATAGTTTGTATATATAAATACAAATGAGGTTACATATATGTTAATTTCAGACATCTGTTTTATTTCATCTTGAGCTTTTTTTCTAGCTGCAAGTTTGAGTTTGTGTTTAACCTCCACTCTCAGATGAAAAGAAATAAATCCCAATATTTTTTTAGTGCTCTCTTAAAAGTTTAATTTACGAATACTGAGAGTAAACACGCATCTTTTTCTGTCTTGTTTTTCTAGCTGACTATTTCAATAAGGGAAACAATGATTTGGATAATAGTGAGTTACGACTTGATACTTGTCTGTTGTTATGGAAACAAATTAAATCTGAAACA